CGAGCAAAGGGAGAAAGAACAACTTCCATTCGGCTTAGGAGGAATCTCGCATACCCACAACAATTAAAGCCGTTAGCGCCCGATGCTTTTTTTTATGGTTGTAAAAAAGTTAATGCCATCTTTCAGTTTGGCGTTATGACGCCCACTTAATTAATGTAGAATTAACTTACTTAGCTTGTCCCATTCAAGTCTCTAAGTCCTTTTATTTGAATAGGATGAAAAATGTAATCCGCTATGTCGTTACGGTCGCGATACTTAATTCAGAACTAACTAACTTACATTGTCGCCTTCTACTTTCCAAGTCTTTTTATTTCATATTTATGTCGATGGCATTGATAAGAAAAAAGTGATCTATCACGCCCTAGTGCCCAGCATATTTAAGCAGAGAGTATATCTTTATTTGACCAATGTACAAAATAGTATTAAACAGTCTTGTTTACCTTAATCATAAGGATAAGCAAAAAATCTCAATATATTGAAAAACATAGATCACTTATAACTCTCTATAGGCTTGGCCGATTCTTTCCATTTTTGCACATAAATAGTAAAGTAAAGGTAGATCATTTCAGCTTTCCATTTTTTATTCTTTGGGTGTAATGAGCAAAAACCCGCAACTTTTTGCTTAGAGAAACGGAGATGCGTTCAGCCTACGTTTTATTGCGAGCGTGTATTCTGGCTAATCTGGTTCGTTTTCGACACGTTCTCAACATGCGTGCAGAAACTTCTAATGTTTCTATCAGCTTTAAAGTCGATATCTTCATATTTGCGGCCAGGAGAGTGCCGACAACGTACCCAATAGACGGACAGACATGGCTTAATCGAATCAAAAGTTCACGCTGATCAAGATTATATATGCTTTATAAGTCCGCTGAAGCTTCCTTTCGAGTGTTGCAATTATTGTAACAAAATGAGTATCACAATTCGGAAGTACGAACATAATTGCGGAGTTAAAAAGGAGTTGAATAAATAACGTAAAATTACGGAAGATGATTTACGATTTGCGAAATGATTATGTTTTGTTTTCATGCAAATACATAACTCTTTTGTTTATCAAAATCTACGCATACGTTCGCGCGCTGCGCACCACAAGTTATGTGTTCATCTACGTTTAACAACACGCCACGTACACTGCATAATGCAATCATTGTGTTCAGCACTTGAGTTGTACGGAATTGATGCAACTTTACCTAGAATTGAGTGCGACAAGAGCGCCATCATTGCTGTTAGTCCTTACGTTACTGCCTGTATTTACCCAGCTAGTTAGTATTTATATTGACATTAGTATTGTTGTTAGTATTTAAAGTAGCACTCCTTGGTATTACACAGGGATATAGTGCCATAAGCTTGATATATCAATTTCAGTCAGTCATACTTTAACTAATACGTCCATTTATCTACGCCTATTAGTTGGAATTGAACAATTATACAATTCTGCCGATAGCGTTAAGTGCTATTGCTTTAGGACTTTAGCCTCACAATCTATTTCGCTGTCTTAATTAATAATAATAATAGTAATAATCATATAATTTATTGAAAACGGCCCTTAATCTTTATATCGAGATTCAGATAAACATTTAGTAACAATTATAGGTCACAATTATTCGCTTATTGCACTGCATTGTTATGATCGGACAACGAAACTCAAACAGGTAAGTGCATGCACCAGATTATAGGTTTCTTTCTCCATTTCTACTACTTTCAGCGTTTTAACGACAGACGACGGTAAGACGGATAAAGTTAAGTCGATTCAATTTCTGATGCTTATCAAAAATATTAACATATGCAATATTTCCATAGGCAAAGAAACCCAACAATGACTTAATTAAACTTTCATTGTTCAATATTGAATATGAAAACTAGTTCCAGGCCTGTTCAGCCTCCTTCCTTTCGTGTGGGCTAGTTTTGCCTACTTTTTTTCGTAGGGAGGAGTGGGAATCTTAATGTTGAGTTGTTTAGTCGGTTTGATGCTCAACCAATTCTAAAAGGTAGAGGAAACGCTCCTACGCTGTGGTAACTCATGAGCAACAAAAAAACCTTATGATATGTGTTATAAGTCAACCAGTTCATCACAATTTATTTATTTTCGGTTTCTTTGAGAACGGTATCGAGAAAGCAGCAGCACTAATAGTGTTAAAAAAATTGCACAGATGTCCTCTTAACTGTTTCTAATTGGGAAAAGATAGCTTGGAAATGAATAATTGGATTCAAAAAAGGTAAAAAAAAAAAAACAAGAATGAAAAAGGGATGAATTAAGAAAGTTTAAATGTAGCTTCAGTATGCGAAAAAATTTATATAATTTCAAAATAAATCGTAACTTTATACTTGATGCACGCCCTTTATGAAAATTACGTAAAGAATATCGAATTGAATATACTCTCAGTTGATAAGTATAAAGTGAATTTCAACTAAATTCACTGTAACACGAGATGTTAATGGCTTTAACGATGTTGACAGAAGTCGAGTATATATATACATACACATACACATACCTAACCTAGTCAAACTAAACATGTTTACGTGAATGCAGGGGCATATACATGTTTTTATATAAACATAATAACATTCGTTACATCGGTTAATGAATTTAATTAAAATTAAGGTCAGAGTTTAATGAAAATCTAGTTTTTGTATGAATATTAAGCATAAGTAAGCCTTAAGTCTAAAAAATTTACATATTGAAGGTGGAAATAAGAAAAATTACATATGTGTATATATATATATAAAATATTTATATATGTATATATATAAAAAAATGTATATATAAAAGATGTATACATGTATATAAAATATACATATATATATATAAAATGTATATATAAAATTGCTTTTCGATTTACCTCATGTTCCTAAGACTTTTCTCGGTGGATTGTAGATTTTCCCCAGCGCAGACTTTATTTATATATAAAATCAGCACAAGTTACAAAAACTTAATTCTCCCTTTTTCTCTTCAAATATCGCACGGATTGAGCAAATTCTTTGCTTATAAACATTGTGCAGCAAACCATGAACGTCCCCGCCCGGTGAGCTTTCGCCAATCCTCTTACATGCCGCATAGTCCGCTGAATATTTTATTAATCGTTTCTTTAAACGGGAGCTGTGTAGGGCGCTCTCGTCTCAGCTAAAGTATCGAAAGTCCCTACTTTCTTTCATTACGTTTTCAAAAATTTACGAATAATGCGCACACTTTTCGTATAGATTAAGCACATTAGATATATGATTTTGTAAAAATATTTAGTTTTCCAAATACATATACGCACTACTCTCACACTGCCTATCCAATCGTTCTTTACGCTTCATTTTGTAGATGGTATATCGTTATATATTGCAAGTACGCACTTCAAATTTTTTATCGGTGCTCCAAGAAAGAAAACAACTTCAACACTTTCAGTTCATTTTGCACTAAAACGCAAAGTTCATTAAACTTTTAAGAGAAAAATAAAATAAAAAAAGAACTTTAGGACGGTTTGCTGTAACGCTGTTGCTGCTGCATTTTAATGATGTATCCATCGCAATCGATACTCTTGCATTTTAGTTAAAATGTCGTCTTAAATAACGAATACATAAACTGTGCAAATCGTCAAGAAACAAAAAAGTTAAAAAACTAAACCTTAGCGATCCGTATACTAAGTGAAGACAGGTTTTTGTTTATCACTTATAGAGATGTTTGCCAAATTGGCGTTTTCATAATTTCTATGCCTGGTTTGTTACCTCAGGGCGGACATCTTTCAAGAGATATTATGCACAGCGGCAATATTGGGCGGAGCGTTCCGAAACTAGAAAGATTTATGCATCCGATAATTACAAATCGGGTATGGATGCACAGTTGTGGGAGCCGCAAGACAAATTGCTTCCGAGTTTGTTTGTTTTTTCTTTTTTCTTATAAACAAAGAGATTTATATTAACTAACAAGAAGCTTTTAGAACTGCATTTGACTAGAAAAAGATCTCCATTTGCTATTATCTGATAGATCAAGCAAAAACTTTCTAAGGTTTTTCACAATAATTCAAACATACGATCGTATGTCTTTGTTGGAGCAGCTCTTGGTGCGCGAAGCTTTGCAAATTCCGTCAAGAATACAGTGTTACCTTGCTTACCTAGCTTCAATCAAGGTGAAGCTAACATTTGTGCAGTTTCACCTATTTTCGATCACGATCTTTTTCACGTATTGTTATCGTCGCGCTTTACCAATCTCTTCGAAAATTTTGCGATTCGCAGGAGGAGATTTGGCCCATAAAATTTTTTAGTTCCAAGTCCTATGATGTCTAGATATCCGGCTTCCTTTTGTATCTAGATTTATAGAAATGATTGAAAACTTTTTTCGATGAAGTTCCGCAACAATGTCATAAAGTAAAGAGGGCCGTTTTTCGATCAATTGGTCGATCAGCACGTCTCAAACATCGAAATTTCGCTGTCAACATGCGTTCGTGCTGCTGCAATTTTTTTATAAACCTGCGACAGTTCATCAACTTAGTCAAATTGTAAAATTTGGTCAATTTTTTCAGAATTTCTAGGTCAACACTCCGTGATATTATGTATAAATTATATATCCCGACTTCATGCAGATTTAGTACATGTGCTGTAGATGTATAATAAATTTTGTAAACAAATGCATTCAATTCTAAAGCAATACAATTAGTCGGTAATCTGAAAAATTGTCGAAACTGGGAGAAGCAAGGAGTGGAACTAGTAACAATCCCAAGAATGCTTTTAAAAACTCTATATATAATTTAGATTTTAAAGCCCTAAACCTAAAATAAATGACGTACGTGATATTCATATTAAGTTCATGGTGATGCTTAGCATAACATCAAACAGAGAGAGCTTATAATAAACAATTCTATGCATTATCTCTGAATGTCTAACCTCCGTGACCATTCCTCAATTGATAAGGCGAAGCATTATACTGAAAGCTGAAAGTTGTGCAAAACGAAATCAATCAGTGATTTTTTAGTCTGTGTTAGAGATTTTCCAAATAAATGCTGAAAATTTTGTATGTGTTAATGGCTGTGGCTGCATTAAGCGTATTTGCTAATGCTAACATTAAGCTGGCTTATGCTAATGTGTTACCGGGTGATAGTAAAAACTTTACCTTAAAAGCGCTTAATAATTCCGTTGAGAGTAGTTTCGCAAGCATTACTAATGGGTCCGATAATGTGGAAAACAGTAATCGTACAACTTTCTCATCGTCATCATTATCGACCATAATGAAAGAGATTTGGACAAAACAAGCACAACTAAATGCTTCTGCCAAAGATAAGTTACAAGCTGTACGCATTGCCGTTACCCAGCTGTGCGATGAATCCATGCTGTTCGCAGGTTGTAATGCATATATGACAGCGAAAGTTAAACTTATGAAACGCTATCTAAACGGAACGGATACAATAAAACATGCAGCTGCCAATAATGTCTTGAATTTGCAACATTTCGTACAGTTAGTGGATGATTTGCTAAGCGCGGATGATGATGAACATGCTATGGAAAATATGCTAATGAAATCTTTAATAGAAAAATATAAATTGATTAAATTACAAAGTGACGTACAAATCGACGTTCTACAAGCTGTAAAGGTGTGGCAAAATGATGTTCATAAGCAATTAGTTGAAGTTAGTTCAGTTTAGTTGATATTTTCTTCTTTTCCACCAATGGACTTGATGAACCAGTTTATGGTTGAAATTTTTTTTGTTTTTTTTTGTCTATACCAAAGACACTAAGCTGGCATGTACATATGTAGAGTAAAATGTGTATATAAAAACAAAAAATGCAAAAATCACTTTGAGTTGATAAACCAGTTCAGGCTGGTAAATGGCTGCTTTAACAGAGCAAAAAAAAATAAATAAATAAATAAATAAATAAATAAAAAAAGCAACAACTATAAATCCATACATATATATATGTAAACAAAAATAAAAGCAAGCAAGAAAGTTATAATCGCTCAAGAGCATCCTACCATATTATAGACTATAGATGCAGTAATTACCTGAACGGGATTACCTTTGCTTGGAATTTCAAAACCGATTTGTGTTACGTATTGTAAGTTGCAACTTGAGGCAATGCTTGAATATTTTCATTCTTAGTTTTAATTTTTCTTCACGCCTATTTTTAACTTCTTTTTGCTTAACTATGTTGTGAACATATATTTTAGATTTGTATTCAAACTTTTACGATTTTGAAGACTCCAGGGATCGCTAGCGAAGCGGGTAGCTTTGACTAAATCAATCCCAAGATTATATAATATATACTATAAGGGCGATTTAATGCGTCACACCATGATAGTATCATGCAATCAGAAAGATAAAGATTTTATGTAGTCATTATACGCCCGCAAGGTGCTGGGGCGTAATTATATTCACGACGTTTGACAGAGCTGAAGAAGAGATAGCGATAACTCAAGTAAAGTAAACTATGTAGATAAGTAAGAAGTGTTTTCCAGCCGACATTCCAATAGCTTAGAGAGAGAAACACTTATGGTCTAAGCGTTTTCCAGCCGACATTCCAATAGCTTAGAGAGAGAAACACTTATGGTCTAAGCGATGAACCTAAGCCAGGATATTATACGTGCTAATCAATAAAGCGCAAGGAGAAATGCTGTTCAGTTAATTTCGTTTTGGCTAATTTAATGTTAGAAGATGTTTTATCAGAATAGAAATCCCTTTATAATCCCATTACGGTATTTGAAACGTATGTCAATGTTTTACAAGAAGGAGATAAAAAATCTTGTCATAGCGAACGTTACGTTGTTTAAAAACTGAGCGTTGGCGACGAAAGCTGAGTCTATTGACGTTGTTATCGGAAGGTAAAGTAATGAATCATCATTTTATTTAATGACCTATTACAACTTTTTCAAAAACAATCGATCAGAAAGTTTTATGGTTTCGGATCAAAAATTTGCAGCAGGTGGCATTTACAGTTTTTTTTTTAAGCAACTAACAAAATTTTCCTACGGACAAAACATTCCCACGGAAATTGAAGCAAATCATAGTGTCGGGTCAGGTCCCTGAGTCGGATGCATTAAATCTTTTAATTCACATTTTCGCAATTTTTGTGGATACCTTTTATTTTGATAAATTTCGGGTCTTTCTTTTCAACGGTCATCTTCGACTCCCAATGCGTCTTTGTGAGACATCAAAGAGGCTCTTGTCGCTTGAACTGAACACTTTTTCTCAGCACTTTTTACTTAAACAACATGTCAGAAATCGGTTGAGTACTTTACGAATCCACGGCGCAAGACAAAGTTGTGGTTTTTTATAGCAGTTTAACGCTATTCGGAGATAGATCTTTACAGGAGGAGGGAAAATAGTTACTATATGAACTGGCTGAGCATGCAATTTTGAGCCGTTTCAACATCGCGATTTTAAACAAGAAAAAAAGACCTCTTTGAGGCATATTATGGCCAGCCATGAAAAATGGATCTACTATGACAATTTCAAGCGTAAAAATCACGGATTAGTGCAGGAGAATCATCCACGTTGACATCGAAGCGGAGTATTTATGGTCGTTTTGTTGTGGATGACGGGATCAGCAGGTTGTAATGTATTCCGATCTGATGAAACCAAATGGAACTGCTGCTGCGGATGTTACTGTCGATTAAGCAAATAATTTTGTTGAATTGTTTCAAAAAAGATCAACAATAGCGGTGAAAATGGCCACCATACGAATTGACTGAAAATCCCATTTTGGCCGCTTTTTGCAATTGCTGTCAAGGACCCACTTTTGCAGACCGAACGGCAAAGCTCTGCTCCACCCATCGTATTCACCAGACATGACACTTTCTGATTACTACTTATTCAGATCGATGCAGCATGGCTTTGCTTGGCACGCGGTTTCGAAATGCTGAAGAAGTGCGAAAATAGGTCGATGATTCGATCGCTGCTAAATCAACATCGTTCTTTCGATACGGGTCCGCAATGTTGCCAAAAAGATTGGAAAAAATTGTAGAAAATGAGAGAAAATATTTCGATTAATATTTTTCTGATTAAATGCCTTTTCCACGTGAGAAAATGATCAAAATATATGCAAGCACTTAATACTTTGTGAAAATTGTTAATAGAAGTGTAAAAAAAAACTGTGAGAAATGTATCAAAAAATACTAAATTAATAAAAAAGAATGAAGCATGCGGCTACCTTTGCTTATTTCTCAGAAAATTGTATAAAATTGCAACAATTTTTTCTCTTATTTTTTACACAATTTTCTTTTACATTTTCTTTTAATTTTTAAAAGTTTTCCCTATATAGTCGTGCACTATACTCCGTTATTATAATAAAAATGATTAGTGACCTGCCTGAGAGTATAACACATATGTCATGTTGTTGTAGTCCCTAAATTTATGATTGAATAACCGAATAACAAAAACGCTTTAAAAGTTTACAAAACCGGTTTTACAGTTTTACTTGAGAGAAACATATGGTTAGTGATATCTCCGTGATGGTGCTCAGAATACGTTCATGAGGCTATTTTGTGGATAACAGGCTTAATACCATTGTCTGATATTTTTTGTGCAGTGAAAACAAAAACTGCACATAAAAGTTTAATAATAAACTTAAACGTGTTTACGGAAACGGAGTCACGCGTGATTGACAGGCTTTTCATTTATTTATTTATTTATTTTTCCTTTTTGAACATTCTATTTTGTTGCGCAGATATCAATTTCCCCCAATCGAATCTTTCCCACTAAATTCTTAGAAAATAAACATTACCGAGTGCTTAGCAAAAGGAGGTCTTCTACGTTCGTTAGTTTATATGTTTTACACACTATTTGAACATTAAGCGGGATATTTGCCTGTTTTCGACAGGGTCTGTAATAATTGTGGTAAATATCAGATATTTATTTTATATATATGTATATATATATGTGCGTGTTTTCCATACAATTTGCTATACAGGTTATATTAAATTTACACGAGTATATGTAACACACAAAAGTGGTTAAGATGTACGCATCTTTTAGTTTGTCGGTCGATTCGTAATCATTTGTTGAAACGACATAAACTTATCTGCCCGTCTGGCCGTGCTATCTATAAGTAGAAATTTCCGAGATATCTAGATGGTTTGGTAAACTGGCGTGCCGGACAATGAACCCTACTGGTTTTACAACTATGCCCCATATAATGTCTTATTTTTCGTATACTCACCTGAGTAGCGCAATAGATAAGAATCGCGATTGCCAAGTCAGGGTTCGAGTGTTCAAATCACCATAAGGAGGAGTATATACCGATTGGGCACTCATCCCCTAGAATTTTTGGCATCTTATTAGAAGAATAAATGAGGCATTCTTTTAGGCGAAGCCGTAGTAGGGCGTTTAACGTTTTCCTAGTTCGACTATGATAATTTTAATTCTTTATTATGTGAAAGCAAAACTTATTCAAGTGAAACACATCAACATCATCTTTACATTGGATAACTGATGCTAGAGTTTGAGAGTAAATTATAAACAATATTGAATACACACGTAAGTAGTCTTTATAACTCCCATTATATATCTATCCCTTATTCTCTACACAAACCATAGATACTACTGTATAATAAATATCATACAATATAATAAAATGCAGGGTTATATTATGAATTTATATACCAGCATGAAAAACTCATTATGTGCAAGTATATACTACGCTTATGTAGTAAGTCATATATATATATATATATATATGTATGTTAAGTAAATATAAAATATATAGAGAATTGAAAACAGAGAGAGAGTTGAAAATAAGAAAAACATCTGTCATTGTTGGTAGATAAAGGTTAAGGCACATTTTGTAGTTACACTGAGAAAATATTTCACAAATTGCACTTGAAAACATATATTTTTTCTCTCTCTCTGCGTATTTCCTTTAAAACGAAGGATATAGAAAAAGTGGATATTGAAATCGTTTTACAAGGCGATTCTGAGAGCGACGATTTGTCCCCTACCGTTGCAATAGCGGATGCCAGCTGTCAATGATACGCTACATGAAAGCGCGTCAACTAATTGCTATCGAAGCTAGAGCTATTTTCCAAATCACAAACCTCGCTTGCAAACGCAAAACGGTTTGTTGACTTAACCTTGTGAAATCATTTCGAAATCCTTTAAATTTTAATTGGGGCACCGTTAACAAAGTAAGAATGCTACTGTCACTCACGGAGATAAAATAAAAAAGTACTGTTTGTATAATGAGTGAGCAGATCCAGCAGCCAAATCCACGTCTTCGGCGCTTTTAGTTACGGATGGCACAATGGAAGTGATTTAAAACATATTTTAGAAAGAAAAAAAAACGAAAAAAAAATTAAAGTAAAAAATCGACAGTACTACTATCCACATTACTTCAATGGTAACTCCAAACGTGTTCAACCACAAGAAAATCAAGATCAAAATACTTGCAAGAATTGACGTTGGTCATCTGTTCCTGCAATTTGCAAATGGGGACAAAATCTTAATCTTGTCGCGATTTTGAAATTACCTGGAGAACATTTTTGTAATTAAATGCTTTATTTATCACTCATCTGAAAAAAAGGTAGTGTTTATCCTACTTTAATTATAAAAATTTGTTATATAATAATAAAAATTATTTAATTGGTCTTACGGGACATCTAATGAATAACTGCAACGTCTGTTTATTTACCTCCAAAGGGAAGAACGCCCCTATAGCAATCATGAATGACGTACTCCAAAGAGACGCACTTAGTCAGCTATGATGTTGTCTTGGTTTCAATTTCTTTAGCAGAGAAATGCGCAAAATAAGAAGCGACACCGGATTTAAAAGAACAAAAAGAGAAGCTGTTGATAAGTTCGTTCGGCAATAAATATAAATCTTGCGTTAGACAAATGCTGGCTCATGTCGTTAAAAA